CTCACTGTGCCCCTCACAGCAAGAGAACCACCTGCATATGTAGCCTTTGTGTTCTGTGCTCCCGTCTCCCTTCCCACCTCAGTGGGCCAGTGCCAACCCTGGTTGGAGTGAGGCTTGTCTCCTACCCCAACCCACCTCACCTCCTAGGTCTTTACTGTCTGAGGAGACATTTCGAACAGGTGGTCCAGATGGGAAGGTGACCTCTCGGCCCTGAGAAGTATGTGATCAATAATGCAACTTCTCAGGTTATGAACAACTAGAGGCCCGGTGCACAGATTCGTGCACTGGGAGTCCCTTGGCTTGGCCTGCACCCTCTCACAATCTGGGACCCCTTGGGGGATGTTGGAGAGCTGGTTTCGGCCTGATCCCCACAGGCCAGCCCAAGGGACCCCACTGGTGCACGATCGGGGCTGGGGCAGGGAGGGAGCATGGGAAGACTCCAGGGCGTATCCAGCCCATCTGGCCCAGTCCCGATCAGCTGGACCCCAGCAGCAAGCTAACCTACCGGTCAGAGCGTCTGCCCCCTGGTGGTTAGTGCATGTCATAGCGACTGGTTGAACAGTCAAATGAACGGTCGGACACTTAGCATATTAGGCTTTTATTGTATAGGATAGCCAGCCACCTACATAGCAATTAAATCTCACCACAACCATATGTAAGGGGTATTGTTATTATTATCATTCCATTGATGAGCAAACTGATGTCCAGAAAGGTTAAGTAACTTCTGTGACAAGAAGCTTGTCAGAAATAAAGCCAAGCTTTGAATCCAGGCAGCGAGGTGTGAATTTGTACTTTTAACCACTGCTCCACACTACCTTTAAATAAAACATAAGTAAATCTGCACCAAGTATCTAAGTCTGCACAGCCAGTCAGAATTGAGACATTGCGTCTGACAAGTATGGGCATGTGTTTAAATTTGGGGATGACATTTCTTTCTCCTTGAAGTGACTCTTGTATATAAAATCAGAGCTAACTGAATAAATTAGAGCCAGAAGGAATTCCTCATCCGGGTGAGATGGCCTTCAAGAGAGGCAGGGCAGTTCCTTTGTTTCTTCCTGTACTACGCCATTGGTGAATCACTGTGTTCCCACTTAACACATACTTACTAAGCACCTATAGATTGGTATTATAATAACTTGGCCCCAGACTAATTTTCCTCCTCAAAAAATTTCTGTTTGATCACACAGTAGTCTTTGTTTGTGTTTGTGGGGGCGGGCTTTTTTATAGCTGCATAGTATTCTTGGGGAGGGAAGGGAGAGATTGCTTGGAGCGCCCTGTGTATAGGAGGATAGAAAATAATTAAAAACCAGAATGTAATTTAATTCAAAATCAAAAGGCGTTCTCATCTACACTTTCGTGAAAATTGTGCGAATTGGCACATTAACGAGTATGTTGCCAATGGTGAAGTCTGCCCTTAACCTGTGTAATTAGCAAAAAAGGAGAGAGACCTCAGTGGGTCCTGTTAATGAGCAAGACAAGATGATTTCCTGCCTGTCAGTGGAATCATTAAGAATGCAAGAGCCTAATGCACTAGGGCCACTTGCAGGGGACAAGTGATGTCTGAGCTGAGACAGGAACCGCTGTCTTCTGTCTGTGGAGTCTCCCACGGAGCCCATCTACCCTCCATTTAGGGAAGAGAGAGGACTAACATTGATTGAACCCTTGGTATGTGTCATCTCTGTGCAATATATATATATGTACACACATACTTGAGGCCTGGTGCATGAAATTTTTGCACGGGGCGGAATCCCTCAGCCTGGCCTCACCCTCTGGCAATCCGGCACCTCTCGGGGGATGTCTGACTGCCGGTTTAGGCCCGATCCCGAGGGATTCCTGTGGGATCGGGCCTAATCCCTCTCGCAATCCGAGACCACTGGTTCCTAACTGCTCGCCTGCCTGTCTGATCGCCCCTAACCACCTCTGCCTCGGCCCCCACTGCCACGGCTTCATCTGGAAGGTCTTCCAGAAGGACATCCAGAATGATGTCCAGAAGGTTGTTCGGTCTAATTAGCATATTACACTTTTATTATTATAGATATTGCTTACCTAAACAGTGCCAGAATACTCTATGAGTTTTTGTCTTTGGATAGGGTGATGCACACACAGAGTGACACAGGCATGACCACCATTGTCGCTGCAATTACCCTTCCACATGCAAATGACACAAAAAAGATCATCTAAGTGCAAAAAGACAAATCACTATTAACATTTTGGCCTATAAACTTACATTCTTTTTAAAAAGTTCTTTGTGTACAGTTACCAAAATGGTATTATATTACATGTTGTTTCATACCTACTTTTTAACTCAAACATTTTTACATGCTTATTAAATAGTCTTCTACAGTATCATCCTAGTAGTTACAAAGCATGCAGTTGTAGGTACTTTCATAAACCCTTTTTATTGATCCCCTATTATAGGATATTTAGATTGCTTTCAAGTTTCCACAATTTTGAGCAGTGCTCTAATTAACATTCTTATAGATAAATCCCTGCAAAATTAGCCATTTTCTTTAAAAGGTAAATTACTAGCATGGAAATTTCTGGGCATAAGGATATAGACATTTTAAAATTAAATTTATTGATGTGTAATTACATACCGAGAACTGACTATTTTAGGTGTACAGGTCTTTGAATTTTGACAAATGCATCAGTCATGTAGACACCACCATAATTAAGTTGAAAAACACATACATATTTCAAAGATTTTGATTTAATTATCAAATTATCTTCTAGTAAAACTATAACTATTCCCATCTACCATCAGCCTATGAAAGGTGAACATTGAGTGCTTAAAATTCTTTTTAAATAAAAAAGATTTTCCAGTTTTGGTAGATGAATGTTTCCATCTCTCTTTTTTAAAAAATATCTTTTTATTCATTTCAGAGAGTGGAAGAGAGAGGGAGAGAGAGAAACAACAGTGATGAGAGAGAATCATCTATCACACACCCGCCACTGGGGATTGAGAACTTAACTGAGCATGTGCCCTGCCTGGAGTCAAAATGTGACCTCCTGGCTCATGGGACGATGCTCAACCACTGAACAACACCAGCCAGGCTCCATCTCTTTTTAAGTTACATTTATTTGATTTCTAATGAGATAGCATATTTTTCATATGTTTATTTATTTTGTGTCAATTCTCATTTATATCTTTGGCCTGTATTTCAAGCCAACTATCTCTTTCTTACTGATTTGTTAGAGCTATTGGCAGGCTGGAGTAAAGGAGTGATACGTCATGTTGCAAATATGTTTTCTCTTATTTTTTGCCTCTTAATTTTTTATGGCTTTTTTTTCCTCAAAAGTTTGAAGAGTCTGTAATCTCTCTAGCTATTTCTTATAGATTCCACTTTGGAAGTCATCTTCATAAAGTCCTTTCCCACTTCAGGATTATTTAAATATTTGACCTTTTTACATTTAAATCTTTAATTCATCTGGAATTTATTTTGATAGATATATCACATGGGATGGACTTTTATTTTTCCTCCAAATGATGAGCTAGTTGTACCAGCATCATTTATCAAATAATAGATATTTTCTCTACTAATCTGAAAAGTAACCTTTACTATGTCATATAAATATATATTATACTTTGATCTGTCTCTGAACTTTCCATTTTGTTCCACAAAATTTCTTATCTTTTTGGAAAAGAATAGGCACTGTGTCACACCATTTTAAATATTATAGTTTTAAGATATGTTTTAATATTTAGTATGGCAAGCACTGTTTTTTATTACTGTACTTTTTCAAAATGATCTCTCAGGCCCCAATTATTTCAGATGAACTAAAAACTCAAGACTGAGTTTAAATATTCAATAGAAACTTTTTTTGCAATTTCTTTATATTTATAGATTAATCTGAGAAGAACTTAGATCTTTATAATAAGTAGTCAGTCATCCCTGAGGAATGTGCTAGGGGTATTGTTGTTACTATTATAATAACACTAGGGGCCCAGTGCATGAGTTTGTGCACCTTGAAAGGAACTGTGGGCTGTGAGGCTGCAGTGGGCACAGGGGTGGGTCTCAGCCCATCCTCCGTGCCCCTGCCTGGCCCCTCCTGCTGTGGCCAGCAGCCCCGCTACCGCTGCTGCTGCTCCCCTGCTGACAGCATGGATGATTGGGGCTGGCGCCAGCAGCAGGTGTGAGCAACAGCTGCTGCCCCAATCGACCCTCAGGAGCAGGGGGAGGTGGAGAAGCCCTGAGCCACATTAGTAACAAAGAAACAGAATTGCCTGAGGATGAGGCCCAGAAATCAGGATTTTAAAAAGATTCCCAGGTGATTCTAATGTGCAGCCAAGGTTGAGAAGCACTGTTTTGGAATAACTTAATTGGCATAAGCATGCCTGTTGCTTAATAAGTGGATTTAACTCACCTGTATGATCTAACTCACCTGCAGCACCTGTGTTATCTGCAGCCATAGCATTTCTTAAAGCCCTCTCTTTCACTCGGTATTCAGAATATGTATTAAAATTCCAAAGTTCATCCAACAATTTTGAGAGTCAGACGATGAGAAGCTAACACATCGATTTTCTTAGAATAGGACAAATTGTGAAGACGAACACGAAATCTTAAACACAAATGTTTCCATCATTTCTTTGGATTTCGTTAGCTCTTGGCAAAGATTATTTATGCTTATATAACGTTTATTGATTCAAGTACTGTGTTCAAAACTGGCTCATTGCTCTTCAGAGACTGCAGAAATGTCCACCCTCACTTGCCCAGGAAAGAGCTGAAGTGAAAATATAGAGTAGGAAATAAGATGAACCTTCACCGTATCACTTAGCTTTCCGTGAGCACACCTGGATATATGTATCTACACTAAGGTGCTTAAGAGATCACAAAAACAGTTTCTGTTCTCATCTAACTTTGCATCTGAGGAAGGGGCCTTACCTGTTTATGATGGTTTCTTCCCACAGACAGAGAGATGCCATGAAAATTCCAGTACCCAGTATCTCTAGTCTATTTAGTTACTGTGACCACGGTAACAGCATGTTTTTCTTCATTCAGGAAATCTGCACTAAGGCTTATCTGGCCCTGCGTCATCACACGAACCTTCTGATCATCTTGTTCTCCATGATGCTGATGACGGGAATGCCCCAGTTGACAAGCAAAGAAGATATTGAATATATTCGGGATGCCCTGACCGTGGGGAAAAATGAAGAGGATGCTAAAAAGTATTTCCTTGATCAGATTGAAGTGTGCAGAGACAAAGGATGGACTGTGCAGTTTAACTGGTTCCTGCATCTTGTTCTTGGCATCAAGCAAGGAGAGAAACATTCAGCCTAATGCTTCGGGCTAGAAAAACAAGTTGGTGTTCCAAAGCTTTAAGTTAGCACGTCAATCATTAACCTTGGATTTAAATGCTCATAGGACATTATGAAAGCTGGCACCTCAGAATTACAGCTCTTTTCCTAGCTGAACTCTTCACTGAGACAAATATTGGCCTGTCTGATTATTTAAGGGTAGTTCGGTTCTTGGCCTATTTGTAGCCTTGTTTCTATCTCATTTGTCTCAGTGATTTTGGAGAATATTCTATGTTTAAACAGACTAATCGGTTCCTTGTTGCGCCTGATGTTTTGACTATCTTATTATCGGGTGCCTCTGAAAATTCTTTGGAATAATTTGTGACATCTATTTTCATCTGGGTTTGCTTCAATTTCGGTTATCCTTGTGTTCCTTGAGCTCTTTACAGACAATAATGTGCTCATTGTAGTCTTCGTCTCAGCCCTCACCGTATTTTCAAACATCCCCTCGTTGTCTGCAGATGCCAGCGATGCACTAAAAGGAAGCAAAGCGAGTTAGTCTCTTCGGTGTCTTTTGCAATGAGGTCCTTTACAGTGTACAACTGAGACGCACAAACACAAAAATGGGAAATCTGAACCTTAGCCCTGCTCTGCTGGGCTGGTTCCAAGATTATCAATAGGAGGAAACAGAGATGAGACCATTTGTCCCCACTCTGTCCACAGAGTGAATTATTAAGTACAACTTTCATAGCCTTGTCCCGCATAGAACCAAGAAGCAGCTAAAGGGACTCATTTTTTTTTTTGCCTTCATATTTTTCTCCCTCCCTTTCTCCCTGCCTCTCTTCTTCTTCTTGCCACCCTCCCACAGCTTTTTACCCAGAGTTGTGAAATTTTCAAGAACCCCTTTACCCTAGATTCAAAAACCAGTTGAGAAAGAATTTCTCCTCTGGGATTACTTGGATTTTAGGCGTTTATTTATAAAGATACTTGAAGAAGTTTTTTTGTTTTTTTGAAGTACATTATTAAAGGAGACATTCTAGAAATTATGGATTAGTTTCCAAATACGTTGGTTTTAAATTTTGATCTGAGAAGCTTTTTCTTTCTTTCTTTTTTATTAATGGAAGAAGATATTGGCTATCTAAAAAGTCCCCGAGTTAGGAAGAACACTACTTGTCCCATCCACCTCTCAGTTTAAAGAACTTTTATACTTTGGACACATTCTTCAGGTTTTCAAAAAACAATTGAAATGTCCTTTTCAAAAACTATTTTCATCTCTTAATTACTTTGCTATTTATTGGACGTGTTGGTTAACCTCAGAGAAACATCGTTATTTATAAAATATTTAAAAATTACTTACAGGTAATACTTTACAAAGGAATAACTCTGTTAACAGTGTCTGTTTATATTAGATATAAATGTATATTAAATTTAAATATTTCTAAGTAGATACCTGGTTTGGTGTAGCCCAAACCTTCCTTCTGTGTATTCAAATGCTCTGCAGTTTTTAACTCTGGGTACAAATAGGAGTCACCAGGGACACTTTTTAAAATACACAGCCTGGCCCAGCCAGTGTAGCTCAGTGGTTGAGCGTTGACCTATGAACCAGGAGGTCACGGTTCGATTCCTGGTTAGGAAACATGCCCTGGTTATGGGCTCGATCCTAGGGCATGCAGAAGGCTGCCAGTCAGTGGTTCTCTCTCATCATTGATGTTCCTATCTTTCTCTTCCTCTCCCTTCCTCTCTGAAATCAATAAAGATATATTTTATAAGTAAATAAATAAATAAAGGCTATAAGTTAATTCGTTTGGGATGAGGCCCAGACGTCAGTATTTTCCTAAGTACTCTGGGTGGTTCTAACATACAGGGTTCGAAAAAGCCCTGCACGCCTTCGAAGGTGTAGATGGAACTGCTTCTTTGCCCATTGA